CTTATAATAAGGTCTATATAAATGAGTTTGTAAAAGGGGGCGTGTTGCATCCCATAGGCGTGGATTTTTTTATCATCTATAACTTCGGAACCATAAGTCCCTCGAACTTGAAATTTAATATGCAGACATAGCAATGGTAGGTGCTTATGGGAGGGTATATATAAACGAGTTTGTAAAAGGGGGCGTGGCACATCCCACAGGCGCGGAATATTTTTGTTTCGGAACCATAAGTCCCACGACCTTGAAATTTGGTATGCAGGCATGTCTATGGTAGCCGCTTATAGTATGGCATATATAAATGAGTGTGTAAAAGGGCGCGTGGCACATCCCATAGGCGTGGAATTTTTTATCAGCTATAACTTTGGAACCATAAGCCTCAAGAGCTTGAAATTTGGTATGCAGGCATGTCTATGGTAGGCGCTTATAGTATGGCATATATAAATGAGTTTGTAAAAGGGGGCGTGGCACATCCCATAGGCGTTGAATTTTTTATCATCTATAACTTCGGAACCATAAGTCGCACGAACTTGAAATTTGGTATGCAGGTGTAGCTATGGTAGGTGCTTATAAAAAGATAAATATAAATAAGTTTGTAAAAGATGGCGTGGCAAATCCCATAGGCGTGAAAATTTGTATCAACTATAACTTCAAAACCATAAGTCACATGAAATTTAAATTTGGTATGCAGACATATCTATGGTAGGAGCTTATAGGAAGGTATATATAAACGAGTTTATAAATGGGGACGTGGCACATCCCGTAGTCGTGGAATTTTTAATCAGCCATAAATTGGGAACCATAAGTCACATGAAGTTGAAATTAGGTAGTTATACATAGGTATCTATGGGAGGTGTTCAGAGTAAAGTATATATAAATGAGTTTGTAAAAGGGGGATACACATATATATATTCATCTATTAGATAACTCGGATATTTAAAACTGTGTTTTTTTTTTTGAAATCTTACCGTCTTTAGATTATTTTGAAATGGAAAGATTAAATAATTTTTTAACCTCGCGATGCTGTTAAACGAAAAAGGTTCGTTCATAATGAATAAAACCCCTTCCGAATTAAGCATTATACTAGAAAAGTGCAGCTAAATAAAACAGCTAATCGAATAGGCAGCTAAACGGAATGTACCGTAGTAAAATAATTTTTATTTAGAAATTTGATCGTTACCTAATCTATCTAATATTAATAATGGAACAAAATTTGTAGTACAAGTGATGATCAATATATATTAGTTATAGCACGCTAAAGCCAAAAGTATGGCTCCTAAGGATGCCTTAATGTTAACAAAGAAAATAGTTTGTCTCCTTTAAATTATGCTGAACTGAATATTTGTATTACTGTTTTATATTTTGATTTGTTTACCCCGAACGACGTCGGGTGCTCTGCTAGTCTATATATATAAATGTGAATGTCTGTTTATTACCTTATAACTTCTGAACCGCGGCACGGAATCGCACGAAGCTTTGCACACTTATTTGCTTTTACCCCGGGAAGGTTATAGGCATAGAGAAAAATAGGCAGCACTGGAAAATAGGGCGTGGCACCTCCTATACTAACTAAAATTTTCATGTTATATATCTCTTGAAATATTTGTGGTAGAGCATTGGAACTTGCTGTCGAGATAAATAAAATTAATTCCATACTCATGGGAAAAAATTTGCGGTATTGGAAAAGGGGCGTGGCACCTCCCATAGGCATGAACTATTTAATCAGCTCTAACTTCGGAACCGCAAGTCACATGAACTTGAAATTTGGTATGCAAACATATCTATGGTAGATGCTTATCTTAAGGTATATATAAATGAGTTTGTAAAAGGGGGCGTGGCAGATAAAATAGGCGTGGAATTTTTAGTCAGTCATAACTTCGGAATCATAAGTCACATGAACTTGAAATGTGGTATGCGGACATATCTATGGTAGGTGCTTATAGTAAGGTATATATATATAAATGAGACTGTGAAAGGGGGCGGCAAATCCCAAAGGCGTGGAATATTTTACCAGTTATAACTTCGGAACCATAAGTCACATAAACATGACATTTAGTATGCAGACATATCTGTAAAAGGGAACGTGGATCGTCTCATAGGCGTGGAATTTTTATTCAGCCATAACTTCTGAAAAGTCACATAAACTTGAAATTTGGTATGCAGACATATCTATGGTACATAGGTGCTTATAGTAAGGTATGTTTATATAAATGAGTTTGTAAAAGGGGCGTAGCACGTAACATAGGCTTGGAATTTTTTATCAGCCATAACTTCGGAACCACAAGTCACATGACCCCTTCGACGTGGGGTAAAACCCGCGGGTAAAAGCTAGTTTTAAATATTTATTAGATCTAACGTGTGCTTTGCTATTAATCCAAATACAAGTAACTTTGAACTTATTCTATTTAATTGTCTTTTAAATGAAAGCCATTCATAATTTTAATAGATATTTTTCATTCTTGGCTTTCATTTCTGATTAACATTTCAAAAACCACAGAAGTCACATTTTTCAAACATACTTTTTTTTGCTGCAAACGCTTCCTTAAATTTAGATGCGTATACTGGGTAATAACCACATATGTCAATATTTTCCTTCTATTCAAATAGACGTGCATTGCTTAAATAACATAAGTCAGTGACTTAAGTGGTCTTTGCATGCACTTGTAGATGGCGGTATTAACTATATTCTGAGTTTTTCATTGATTTACGTCTCAGAACATTAGATTGGTTTAGTTTCGGACTCCAGCTCAGCATTTGCAAAGAGCTGAACACTGAAGATGTTTTGGACTTTAAAAAATACAAACAAACCTGTTTGTCGACTAAATTTTACGGAAAAAGTGACCCAAAAGAACAAAAAATAAATAAATAAATCATTCGCGCCTTCGACATACATATGTACCTATGAGTTTTCATTATGATTCAATTAAAAAAGGTACTATCATAGCCGAGGAATTTATTGATGGATGCATTAAGCATTAATAATAATAATAATAGATTGGCGCTTACACATATGGGTGTTTCCTGCGTTGCGGACGTACCGTTTGGAGAAATTTTTTTCATTATAAAAACTATAGTAGGCTCTGAATGAACACAAATTTTTTATCAAGAGTAGTCATCATCAATACCTATCTGAAATCAATAAAAATATTTTCCACCAACGTTATGTAGTAAGTGAATAGCGATTAAAAGTTCCCGTTTGGACGTTCCCAAAATGGAACTCGTATCGAAGATGACTGATGGTTTTTGCTAAATTCTGCGAATTTTTAACGGTACAAAAAAATGATGTATGAATTGTTGTTGCAAGAATAATAAGCAGCCATAACCATTGCGTCAATTTAAACTTCCTAACGCTGGTTAGTAGCTGCCAAAAACTGTTCGAAGTTTTTCGGACGTTCACGTTCGGCCGTTCCGATTTTTTCCAATGGATAAAATTTTTTGTTTAAGAATTTAAACACACTCGTTTTTTTAATGCAACTATGGGTTTTTATTGTAAATAAATCTACATCTATATGAAGGCCTTAATTACCGTTCGTACAAGCAGACGTACATATCGACGCCTCCAAACCATACTATGCTAAGTCTTACTAAGTCTAAGCTGACATAGCATAGAATGGTTTGGAGGCGTCGATATGTACTATCTCTATTTACTGCTACTCACAAAATTGAGTATACGGTTTTTTTTTTTAATATTGGCTTGTTTTACATGCTAAATTTTTTTTACTTTTGTTTTGTATTGAAATATGGCTTATATTTTAGCAAATCCAAATATGAAGCTGTGTATGAAAATTATGAAAAATCTGAAAAGCAAACTTTTTAATACGAATTTCTAAAAAATCAGGTACGCAGTTTTATAGTCTATTCAGTTTTGGTACAATAATGGGAAAATTTCAAATGTATAAACAATTCTCAAAAATCATCTCGAATTTTTAGACATTTGAAATTTGCACATTATTATACTAAAACTGAATGGACTATACAACTACATACATAGCTAATTTTTTTAAGAGATTCTTGTTAAAAAATTTGCAATTTTGCTGAAAGTTTGCCCATTTTTCATAATTTTCGTACACAGTTTCATACTTGCATTTAAATGGGGTTTGCTAAAATATACGATCGATAATCCTATAGCTTTCTGAAAAAATTTTATGCGACTGGCAAGAGTAACCAAAACCAGCTTTTATATTAAAATTTTGGCAAATGAAGTAAACGTTACGACTCTTTTTTTTACATGTAAAGTATATTTTGCGTCGGAACGCTTGAAAAAAGCACAATTTGTAATATAACTTTGGACCGTTCCTAATATATTTTTACGTTGTTTTTGTTGTAAGGCTGTGCTAAATTTTCGTGCTACAATTATGAAGGATTTCTGGAAGGTATGGTTTTTCCGAAAAAAAAAAATAATTAAAAGTTTAGTTGGAAAGCCGCAAATATCTTGAAATGGAATGGACCAATTAGTTCAATATTTTGGTGGATGAAAGACAAAACATGTAGTTATCGATTGGCATCTATAAACTTTGTCCAGGCAAAATTCTATTTTTTTTGGTCTTGGTTGACACTTTTCAGGAAACACCCATATGTTAGTGTTTGGCCGAGCTTCTCCTCCAATTTGTGGTGTGCGCATTGATGTTGTCACCAGCGTTGCCACTAACAATTTTTTTCCCAAATGCGACCAAAATCGTTTACAACCTACCAAATAAATTTCAATTACAAAAAGGCATTCTGAAATCATACGATTCATTTATTTAAAATTAACTACACAGTTTTCATTTATTTCTGTGCAATTCTAATTGTGTGACTTATTTGGTTTTTGAATTTACCGATTTATTTATTTATTTATTAAGAACCGTTTTTTTCAAATAACTCGAAAGCCTGTTTTGAAGTTGAGAACATTATTTCTGTCACAAAGTTTATTATGGCCCTATTACGTAAGGCAACTGACCAAATAACACTTGCCTGGAAAATTTAATTAAAACATTAATAAAAAAAACCTTAAAAAAGAAAAGGCCTATCTCATTTTATTTCCAAATCCAGCCTTGCTCAAAAGGCGTTAGATTCTTCACTGAACACCTATTACCTTGTTTATACTTAAGAAAAAACCGCATTAACAAAAAACCGATTTGATTCAACACATATTTATTTCTAGCGTTTATTCCTCAGTCTTTATAGCGCACTCGATTAAACCGTATTGAAAGGTAAACAAACTCCATTAGTCTTATTCGATATCTATATAATAATAAATTTGCGCCGTGGACCGAAATAGAAGCGAACAGTAATTCAAGTTTGTTATAATAATAAATACTATTAAAAACGGGATGGAGAAGGAAAAAATATCCAAGTTTGAATTCGCGTTAAGTGAATTATTCGTTTATACACCGATGTGAGAAATAAAAAACCGATTTGAAAACAAATTCGAGTCAGTACACTTTTCGATTTCAACGCGTATTGAAATTTTGTTTATGCATCTGTTTTGAATCACACCGAACTGAGTCACAGCGCTTTATGTGCCGGTGTAAACAAGGTATAAGTAATATAATTCTAAAAAATTACTGTTTATTAATTTCAGTGTTTATAAAGTTTCTTAATTTTTCGGTAAAGACACCAATATGCGCATACATACACGTGTTAGATAAGGCACACTAAATAACAGCCCGATTCTGTAAACTTGATATAATCCTCATGTTTAAATTTGTACATTTTTTTTATTTATTAAGAATTAGGATTCTAACCAAGGCGAATTTATATAAGGTGGTGTTGTTTCATCAGCTGTGAGTAGCGTTTGATTGTCAAAATTTTGTATTTCGTTAGCGAGTGAGTGAAAACGTGAGAGTGTTTGTATTTTCTGTCGCCCTTTTTCATTCGGGGAAGAATAGCTGAAATTTGACAATGGCCCGCTGAAAGCAAAAACAAAATACAAGTAATTGTTGTATTTGTTGAATCGATACCACGTATGTATCGCCTTGATTTTAACACAGAAATCAAAGTCTCTTTTCTTGATAAATTATCAGAGATGAAAATTATATTTCAGTGTTAGATACTGACAATATTACAATAAAACATAACATATAAAATTTGAACTTAACATCTAAAACTTATAAAATTATTCATAAACTGTAAGATTAAAGAGAATAAAGAAAAATACAGTAATACAGCAATTAGAGTTGAGGTGACTGACGCGAGCTAAATAGTTACAATCTTTGTTAGTCAGCATAGTGTCTAAGTAATAACATAATAATAATAAAGTGCAATGTATCCTAAATAGCCCTTAGTTTAAGGGGTAATTAGTTCCATAGGCGAACAGTATAGACAAAAAACTGACGCTCAGATATGACAGAATTGAATTTCAGGTGCAAAAGCTGTTTGTTTAGGTTTTTGAGTAGGTTAAGGGGAGCTCCGGGTGCGCCTGAGGAATTTAATAAATAAAACACCGAGGCTTGTAATTGAAATTAAAAACGAGTTCATATAATTTATTAAGATTATTTCATGTCGATACAATATCGGTATTTGAGAAATAAAAATTGCCCGAGTGACTTTTTCGAAATAGGGCGAGCTATGCGGTGCGGCGGCGTTGATGATTAAAGAGTAACTAACTATTTATTTATGTATACAACTGCAATGTCAACTAAAACAAATCAATTAATTCACAATAGTATACACAAAGAGTTGCCAGCCGCACGCAGATTAACAAAAGGGATTTAAACTAGGCTTACAATTCTAAGAGATTGAGGCTCATGTCCTCAACATGCCGGCCCGCCTGCACCGGTGCGAGGAAAAGTAAGTCCTGTTGGTTGGTTATACGGTTGGGGAGCGCTGTTCGTCTACGGCTGATAGTGGGTGAATCATCTCGGCGGTGGCGTTCAGATGCGGCGAGGTGGAGTGGTGCAACATCGTATAGTGGGTACGTCTGGTTTTCCAGCGGTCTGACCCACGACTGGAATTGCGAAACATCTTAGTTAGCCCGTGAAAGAGAGTCGTAAAATGAATTAGTTGGGAAGCATAAGTGAAGTGAATTGAACGAAATATGCGTTTGGGAGAGTTATTGCGTGAAAGTATGAGTGAGCTTGGAGAAGGCGTATATAATCGCTGATAGGTTCGAGGTTTAGTTGTGGGATATGCTTCGGGCAAAGGAGTAAGGCCGCCAATCGTAGAGTTTAGCTTCCGCTCATTCAGGATGAATCGCTAGTGATTCATTAAGTCTTTAGGTACTGAGATATTCCTATTAATATTCTGCTGTTGGCGTGCCTTTAGAGTGGAGCATGTGACCTCACCTTTGGGATGTTCGGGGTATAAAGTGAGACTGATCCTTAAGTAACCAGTTGACGATGACTTTTCCGGCGAATGTGGTTGGTGATGATAATGACCACCGATATACGGAATCAAAACGGTCGTCGAGGTGTCATCTGAGTCGGGCTGCATCGAAGTTGACGCTGGGCTTACTGCTGGGAATCGCAAGGCGAATGTCTTCGGGTTTGAAGCAGAAGTAGATTCATGAGAGTTCGTAACGGGCTCCGAACTGTGCCAGGTTGGCACTGCTGAAGAGGAGATTGATTCAGTTGAAGGAGGTGACAACCGAGAAATCTCGCCAGATTCATAAACGCCTCGCCTTATACCGCCCTCGAAATAGATGACAGGCGTAGAATTTGGTTGGTGCTGATGATAGTAGTCTTTGTTATATAACCATGATTTGGGGTAAGAGAGTAATGTTGGCATTGGGGACCTACGTCGTGGAGCTGACGCGGTTTTCCCAAACTTTAAGCATTCTTCAACGTCTGCGGGGTTGAAATTTGAATTTGTGCTTCCGTCGAGTAACTGACTATTCTGAGTTTTCATTGGCGATAGAGCCCCTGCCGGGCCGGAGGCTACCGCCTCTGATAAATTTTGGGGTAGATATAGAGTGGGACTAATTTTTATTTTAGAGCATTTAAGGGAATCATTGGAGGATTCTATGCTGTCTTTGTTCTTTGGAGTGGAACTTGGTGTGGGAGATTTTCCAGTTGTGTCTATAGGGGGAGACACCTGAGTAGTAGACTGTATATTTGACTTATCTTCATTGGGGGCTGAAGTTTGTGTTATGTTGGGCGCAATATTCGAAATTTGCTGAGTTAGTGAGTTCGTATTGAGAAAGTCCAACGCTTCAACCATCTCAGCTTTGCAACTACTATATTTAGTGAAGCTTCTTTCATACATTTGCTTTGCTGAGTTACTAGATTCAGTAACTGGGCGGGAATGGAGGGTAAAAACCGTTGGGATATTATTATTATTTAAGTGCGGGTTCGGGAGAAGTCTAAAGGAGTCCATGATACTTTCCCAATTTTTATCCAAAATGTCTAATTTTACCTTTAACAACGACGCTGAGAGGTTCCCTGTTGAACGTGATGACCATCTTTGGCAAAATAAATCTAATATATGGCATTCAAACATAAAATCTTTATAGAGGGTATTTAAGGATACAGTTTGTGGGCGACTTTCCATTATAATTGTGAGATAGAAAGGGTGGAGAACGGTAAAAAACTCAAAGTTTATTATTTATGTTAATGCGTGCGCTTATTTATTTTGTCCCACTGTGCTATTTTATATTTTTATTACACTGTGCTATCCTTGCTTGTACAGTGCAATAATGAGCAAGTTGGGGAAGTATGTACAGCGTTCAATACATATATGCGGCTATCGAATGAGAAAAAATAGAGCTAAAGAAGCGCGTATTTATGCACGTACGTATGTGTGTAAAAGTGACTTTACTTTTATAAGGGTGGCTGGTATTTTATTTAGTCAGTGAAATCAAGTGGATCAAAGGTATGGTCAAATTAATGGTGATAATTTTGGCATATGTGAATCTTAAATTTACTCTGCTATTTAATTAAGTTCATGAATATGTATATACATACATACATACATATGTATGTACTTCATTTTTTGTTGTGTTTTAGTTGCACCCTAATATATTTATTCCTTGTGATGCTGTCTTGCTTTAGCGCGTCTAAGGGCAATATTTTTGATGAAAACCCAAAGCAGGTACATATGTACATAAGTTTAGTATGAGATCCAATGTCTTAGCTATGTAACTGGGCTAGCGGGTAATAAGACAAAACGAGCAAGTATTTAATGTATATGTATACATACATACATACATATGTACCTGAGTGGAGGTGTACATATTTTTCAAGCGCAACTGGATAATTACCGAGTTTATTACTACGTTTATACGCACAGAATAATCGACTTAATTGAAAGCGCAATGACACCGTACACATTTCGCTCTAGTGTTTATATTTACGGCTTTATATCGGCATCAAAGTAACCGTCTTCAAAAGCAAACAAAATTAGCTGTTTTCATTTGACATTTTATAAGTTAACATAGTGAAAAGTGATAAAAATCTAGTTTTATTCGGCATTATAAAATCGTGGCAAAGAAAAAGAACCATTATTATTAATCAGCTTTTAAATATTATTTGGAAGTTGAGCGGAACAGCTGATCTCCAATTCGCTTTGAGTGAGAGCGGTGTTTATACACTCTTTCTAACTGTCTGGAGAAATAAACTACCGATTTGAAATGGAGTGTGAGCCAAAACACTTCGCTCTTTCAAAGCGATTTGAAATTCAGTTTATACATATGTTTTGAATCGCGGCGAAATGAATTAAAGTGACTTATGCAAGCGTATAAACGTAGTATATGATGGCATATGTATGTATATATTTATATATGTGAAAGCGCCATACAAGGGGGAAATTGCCACATAAGAAATTCGGGACTTATGTTAATTTGAGATGGCTTTGTGTTTATATGCAATGTAAGTTACGCATGTGTATTTTTTATAGTTTTTTTTTCAGGAGGGGAAATATGTACAAAAATGCGCGGGAATTATGAGTATATGTTTGAGTTTTATAATTATACCTCGTGGGGAACACTATGGCATTTATATACACAAACATACGTATAGTATATGGAAATATGAACGCAGTAAATTTTGCGCACTTACTTGCTTATGTGGGTACCACCTGTATACATATCTACATATGTATGTAAGTTACCTTCTCTGGAACCGTACCGCTGATACCTTAATCTGCCGTCGCTGTTGTTAAGTTGGTGCTTCTCTGACCGCTGCGGGTATTGTTGATGTTGCTGTCGGCCACCTTCACTGCGCCTTTTGTTTATGAAGTGTATATATTTGTGCATCTGTTTGGGAGGGGGTTTGGCGCAGGTATGCTGCTAGCGCCGGAAAAAGAAAGAAACTTTTCTGGTTCTTATTTGAAAATTATTATTTTTTTTTGTACTGTATATTAGTTTTTTATTTTACATTTCACTGCATTTGGCTTTTTTAATTTTCCGTTAACGTTTCGTCTATATGTACACTTTATTTAATTTCACTGAGTTTTTTCGTGTTGACTTTTGTTTTCGCACACGCGTTTGCCGCCGCACTGCCTATCGGTTATTTTGCATTTCAAGTGACGATATGTATGTACGCTTATGAGGGGGAGAGTTTGTCGCCAGGCCGCGGGTCGCCGTTTTAGCGACGAAGGACCATGTTTAGGTTTTTGAGT